GGCCGTCATGTTCCTGAGTCCCTAAGCGTTTTCTTTTCCAGCTTCAACACTCCTGGTGCCCTCGACTGGTCCTTGTCTGGAAAGGTGTCAAGGGTTAGTCCAGACCTAGCCCATCCCTTCTGCTCTCTCTACATCTCTAACAGTTTGCTGATAATAGTTAATGAGGACCTTGAGACAATTTCAATGTCTCCAGTTATTAAAAACAAATCTTTATTTTTACTATGCTCTGTAAAATAGAATCTGAACAGTCCAACTGATCAAGATTTTATAAAAAATTTCCAAAGAATTGAGGAAAAGAGAAAGCCCAATGAAAGTATTTGACAGCAATCACAAAGTAACCATGAAGAATGCTTTTATGCTGGTTATAATTACAGAAATATTTAAATACTATTCATGTAGGTCTGTATAAAATAATTGTAACATTTTCCTATGTTGTCTATAGTTTGAGGAAGAGTGGTAGTAGTAATAATAGCAGCAATAGCAGTAGCAGCAGTAGTAATAGCTGCATTTAATATCTCGTCTCATTTCATCCTTACAACATCCTGGTGGGTAAGCACGCTTGCTATCTCCATTTTACAGATAAGGAAACTGAGACAGATGCTTGGAGGCAGTCCTGTGCTGGTGCTGTCACCTCCTTTCTCATTGCCCTTGGACTTCTGGCTGACTTTGTGTTTAGCTCTGAGGTGGAGGATTCACTGGCTACAGTTTTATATTAGATTTTTGAATCATTATTTGGTGTACATAGCTATGTGGGACCTGAGAAGCCCTCCTCTCCTGCTGGCATCCTGGTCTGAAGCTGGCCTAATTGACTATCTAACTCATTTTCCAATGTACTCAGCTCTCATCTCTCCATGATCCCTTCCATCAGAGGACCTCACCTCATGCTTTATCAGAACACAGTTGATGTTGTCTGTGAGCTCCCTGTCCTTCCCTAGTCTACCATGTCAAGACCTTTTGTTATTATCTTCCATTTTCTATTCCTTTACTTCAATTTCGGGGGAAGAAATGACCATTCTTCTTACCAGGCCTAATTCCTCCATTTCTACTGCTGTTCCCTCTCCTCCAGTGAGTTGCCTCTACCATCATTCCGTTGCTCTAATTTTCAGTTTTTGACTCTCTCCTGACTCCTTTCTATCTGAGACAACAGCAACATACACAGAAAATAATTCATTTTGACCAAGGATTCTTACTAGGAATATAGGGATTGTTCAGCATTAGGAAAACAGTTTATCTGTTCAATTATGTTAACAAGAAAGATATAAAAAACTACATGATTAATTGTATAGCTGCAGAACAAAGCCTTTGACAAAAGACAACACTCATTTATATTAAAAATTTCCCAAGGGAAAAGCATAGAAGGACTCTTCTTTAATATTATTAAAAGCATATATTTTAAAACCCAAAGTTATTGTTTGCAACGAAGGAACATTATTGAATGCATGCCTATTACAAATGAGAGTGGAGCAAGGCTGCTCCCCCCCCCCCATTATTTGATATGATTCCAGAACTGCTAGCTAGAGAAATATGCAGAGAGAATAAAATTAAAGGTGTAAGCATTTTAAAATTGGAAATGAAGTTATCCATGTGTACAGATGAAATGATGGTATACTCAGAACCGCAGAGAATAATCAAAGAAACTAACTGGCTTGATTACCAGCTTCAGCAAGGTAGTAGGATGCTACTACCTTTTGTTATTCAATCATTTCAGTAGTGTCTGACTCTCTGTAACTCTATCTGGAGTTTTGTTGGCAAAGGTACTACAGTTGTTTACCATTTCCTTCTCCAACTCATTTTACACATGAAGAAATTGAGGCAAACAAGGTTAAGTGACTTTCCCAGGGTCACATAGCTAGTAAGTGTCTGAAGCTAGATTTGAACTTGAGAAGATGCCTCTTCTCGACTGCAGGTCCAGCACTCTGTGCACTATGGCGCCACTTAGCAGCCTTTAGAAGGATACTACAATCCATAAAAATAAACTATTTAAATAATGCTAACCAAAATCAAGAAAGAAATAAGTGGCATTCCATCCCAAATCACTACAAAATGCACAAAATATCTAGAAAGTTAACCTACAAATACATATATAAGACTTGTAAAAATACAACTATAGAACGTTCTTTTTAGAAAGAAAAGAAACAAATAATGAGAGCTATTCACTGCTCATGATCGAGTCATGCCAATATTTGAAAAATGACATTACCTATATCAATTTGTAGACTTAAAGCTTACTGCAGCGGGTGGTGGAGAGGGAGATGCTTTTTAGAAGTAGACACGGTAGTAGAATTCATTCGGAAGAATAAAAACACTAGCATCCCAAGAGAAATAATGAGAAGTAGGCATGGAGGGGCAATGCTATGAATCATTAGCAGACCTCCAACTGTATTGTAAAGCAGGGGTCTCTAAAACTCTTAATTGGTTAAAAGAACAGAAAAATGGGGCCATAAGCTATAAGGCTTTAGACCTGGAATGACTTTAGAAGCCATTGAGACTATGTATGCCCTTCATGTTCTAGCTGAGGAAACTGAGGCAAACAAAGGTTAAATAATATTGTATCCTCCCCATTTCTGAAGCACTTATTTAAGGCCTTCTACATGCAGTATATGATAATGTTTACTAATGGAAAAGTTTTACATAAATTCCAGAACATGACATTTTTGAAATTGTAGCTTTGACGCTTTATGTATTATGGTGTCTTTCTATATTGAATCTATATGTGGAAATTACATGTTTTGAGGTGAAGGGCTGTGTGTGTGTGTGTGTGTGTGTGTATTTGTGTTGGTATACTTTGCTATCTTCCTGACCAATTTTTATGGCATTCTATCACATCCTATCTCTTTAACTGAAGTAAATAATTAAGCATAAACTAGATACGAGGTCAGAATCAATTATACCAGATCATAGTAATCCATTTACCAATGATGAACCAATAGGAATGATAGCTGGCATCATAATAGTGCTTTACAATGTTTCAAACACTTTCCTTATTTGATCCTCACAGCTACCCTGTGGGGTGAGTAGTACAGTTTTTATTTTACAGAAGAGGAAACTAAGGCACACAGCAGTTAAATGATTTCCTACAATCACACCACTAGTAAGTGAAACAGCCAAGATTTTAACTCAAGTCTTCTGAATCCAGATCTATTTTTTTTTCTCACTAGACCATAGCTACTTGATCTGAAAAACCTGATTTAGTTTTAAAATGTATAGATACATATACAAACATTCATTACTATCAGTGATTCAGAATGCCTTTACAATTCACGTGCCAATCCCTGAGGGCTAGAAGGGATGAGCCCCAAAGAAGGAGACCCACCTAGTATAAGAGGCAGCAGCAATGGCAATCCAGATGAGCTCTGTCTGTTGACCTTCTTTCCTTTTCTCGGAGCGCACGATGTAGTGGGCCGTGTGCTTCCATTTCCTGAAAGCCTTTGACACAGTCTCTTCCTCTGTCCTTGTGGACGAGCAGGAAGGTGTGAGCTAAATGTCAGGTGCCCATTTCACTGGATTTGGAATGAGTTCAGTGATTCCGCCATTCCCAGGCCAGTGATGGAAAGATAAGAGTCACTGTGCTCACAGTCTTTGCTTGGGCAATGAGTCTCCATCCTTGACCCCATTCGTATCAACCCTTTTGTCAGTGTCTTGGTGGCATGTGGAGCTTATCGTATTTTCACAAAACAAGGAACTTGGTGTTGGAGGACTGAGCCAGATTTTTGTTAGGCTAGAATTGCTGTCTATATATGTCTAAAAGGATGGGATTTGAAAGGGATAAGTATAAAATCTACACTGGAATGGGGAAAAAACACAATTGTATTGGTATAGGATTGGGTGATGCAGCTCAATGTGAGAGATACTAGATTTGAGATGGTATGGTGGCTAGAGGGCTGGACATGGAGTCAGAAAGACCTGAGTTCAAATATTGCCTCAGACACTTAACTATATCAGTTAACTCGATGGCCTCTGAATTCCCTTCTAACTCTGAAATTCTGTGATTCAGGTAGAGGGATGGCAGGGATGTCAAAGGTTGGATAGCTTTGAAGTCAAGGTGAGGCTAGAGTTGATGAAGATGAGGGCACTGGAGAGTCTTCCATGTAAGAATTAATTGAAGTAACTGAACATATTTAGTTGTTGGACTTGGAAGCTAATTACCCCTTTATAATATCTTCAGAGCAATGATGAGGAAGGGGAACTGGTCTTCTGAGAACAGCACTTCCACTAAACATTGAACAAAGTACATTTCAGTTCAACGTATAGAGCTATCTACCAGTATGCCTTGGTATGGGATGATATGATGTGCCTTGGGGAAAGACGGTAGGTTCCACATCACTGGAAGTCTGGAAATGGGGATTTTTCATAGACACTGTTTGTACTAGATGGCTTCTGAGCTCTCTTCCAACTTTAAATTATTTTAAAGGAAGGAATATGTGCTATTCTCATTTTTTTTTTCCAATGAGGGACACAGAGTGGCTTTGTATAAAGAGTACCATACTTAAAGCCCAGAGCTTGTATATTACAGAAAAGTTTGTGTTTTAAGTCTTGGATTATGCAGTCTGGCCCTACCTAGGCAAGGCAGTCTCAGCACTCTGCTTTCTGTTTTCTCTTCTACCGAAAGGAAATAATAGTAATATTCCCTCTCTTGCACCATTGGTGTGAGGAAAGTACTTTGTGAACCATAGAACACCATAGACTTGGGAGCTGTGGATTAAAAAATAAAAACCTGGAGTAACAGTGCTGTCTTTTAGGAGAAAGTCATTTTGTTTTGTGAAATAATTCTAAGGTGCATAGTTTTTTTTTTTTTTCACAGAGACTTGTTAAAAGAGAAATTGTTTTGGAAGGGTTCTGGTGGGGTTAGTGGAGAATATAACCTAAGATAGAATGATTGCACGTGTGATTGTACCTAAAAATGTTATAGTCTTTTATAGTACTAGGAAAAGCTGTTGATGTTTAAAGTCATTTTTCTGTAAACTAAAATTTTCTAAATTCTTTCCATTTTCCTCTAAAAGCTACCAAGTCATCAGCACGCCAACTGATTTTTTTATGGTAATGGAATATGTGTCTGGTGGTGAATTATTTGACTACATCTGTAAACATGGACGGGTGAGTGACATGAAATTCAGTACATTAGGCCAAAGAAGACGAGGATGGTGGTGGACAGAGAGTGTGTGTGTTTGAGTGTGTGTGTGTGTGTGTGTGTGTGTGTGTGTTTTAATGGATTCTTGGAATGTGATAGGTTTTTAAATTTTAACTATTTGATCCCATCTGAAAGACCTCAAATATCTTTAAGAAATTGCCATGTATCAATGTTCTTTTCATGTATGACACTTGCAGAATTGGGGTTGTCTCAATAGTCGTCTCTAAGCAAAACACTGAATTTTAGATAAACATGAGCTATTTCTTGGAAAGGTCCCTTTTTTTTTTGCGAAGTTTTAAAGATTCATTTGATTTATGAAACATGCAGAGATTCTGTTGTGATTTTTAGGAATGGAATTCCACATCACAACAGACACTACAGAATGCCCTTTTCAGCATCCATAATTGGGTACAAATGCCTAGGTGAGTGCACCTTTTCAGATCAGGCTCTTTCATCTAGTTCTCAGCCTTCTCCAGGCACTCAGGGAATACAAATGACCTCTGAATCAGGATATGCCAGTCAGTTTTCATGTTTTGCTAATAGAAAGGTTTTTTTGTTTGTTTCTTGTCTTTTTTTTTTTAAAGAACAGATTTTTGATAAATTCTATTTAACATAAGATACATTCTAAAGTCACTGTTCTCTTAGTGAGTGAGTAAATACTAAATATATCTTACCGTTGTTTCTTTTGGGGCTGGCAGGTCGAAGAGATGGAGGCTAGAAGACTCTTTCAGCAGATTCTTTCTGCTGTGGATTATTGTCACAGACACATGGTTGTTCACCGAGACCTGAAACCCGAGAATGTGCTGCTAGATGCCCACATGAATGCCAAGATTGCCGACTTTGGTATGTGACTCCCACAGTGCGCCAGAAATGTGAAAGCGGCTGCTGGTATTCAGGGGAGTGCGCCAATGTAGGGACAATTGCCCCTCCACCCAAGGCTTGGCAAGCTCTGTGGGCCTGTGGTGTGGGGGGCTTTGTTCAACAAAATCTTCAGAAATATGTACTCTATCCTCCTGACACACGAGATTAGTTAAGTCCCATCTAGGGAACATAAAATAACTGACCATCGTGGAGTAAAAATTACATTGAAAAGAGGGCTGCTTAAAAAATAATTAAAAATCAACTGGAGAAAAATAACTTAATCCCTAAGAATTGATGGGTCAAGAAATAAACCACAAATTGATAGTTTCCTTAAAGATAATGATGGTAACAAGGCAATAGAACACAATTTTAGGGATACAGCTGGAATAGTTCTTAGGGGAAAATTTATATCTCTACTTCTATTAAAAAAAATAGAAAGAACAGATCAATGAATTGGGAATGCATTTAAAAATATTAGAAAACTAACCAGTGAAACTGCCCCCACCAAGTAAACCATCAAATTATAAATCCTAAACGTAAAAAAGAGATGAACAAAACTGAAAAAAAATGAATTAAATAAAACTAAGATCTTTTTTAAGAAAGCTAATTTGATCAAAAAGAAGAGGAAAATCAAATTACCAGTATGAAAAGTGAAAAAAGAGAATTCATAATAAATGAAAAAGAAATAAAGGATGTTATTAGAAAATATTTTGCCCAACTATATTTCCATGAGACTGACAACTTAAATAAAATAAATGAATATTAAAAAAATACAAAATACCTAGATTAACAAAACTAGAAATAAAGAATTAAAGTAACTTATTTTCATAGGTACAAATTAAAGAAGCTATAAATGAACTTCTGAAGGGAAAAACTGTAGGACCAGTTAAACTCACAAGTGAATTCTACCAAACATTCAAAGAACAATTCCATTATTACAAAAACTGTTTGCAAAAAATACCAAAAGAAGGGATCCTAATAAATTTCTTCTGAAACACTAGCATAGTCTTGATTCTAAACCAGGGAGAGTTAAAGCAGAAAAAGAAAACTATTGGTCCATATCCCTAATAAACATTAATGCAAACATTTAAAATAAAACATTAGCAAAGAGGTTAAAGCAACATATCACAAAGATCATGCACTGTGAACACAGGTTGGATTTATACCAGGAATTCAGGGTTGGTTTAATATTTGGAAAATTGTAACCTTAACCATATTAGTCTTAAAATGAATAAAAATCATGTGATTATATCAATAGATACAGAAAAATCTGTTGACAAAATAGAATATTCATCTTTTAAAAACATCAGAAAACCTAGGAATAAATGATACTTTCCTCAAAATGATAAACAGTATATATCTAAAGCTAAGAGCTACCATTATAACCAATAAAGTAGATTTCTTTCCAGTAAAATCAGAGATCAATGAGAACTGTGCATTGTAATCACTTCTATTTGATGTAGTGCTAGAAGTGGTGGGTATAATGATAAGAAAAGAACAAAAACTTGAGTAAATAAGTAGAGGGAAAGCAGAAGCAAAATGATCACTTTTTGCCAATGCTGAGATGATATACTTAAGGAATTCTATAGAATCAACTAAAAAATAAAACAATTATTAACCAGCAAATTTGAAGGGCGCAAAATAAATTCACACGAATCATCAGCATTTCTATATAACACCAATAAAACCCAACTCAAGTATTAAAACTAAGTATAGAATGTATAAAATACTTGAGAATCTCTGAAAATACACCTAAAATTATATAAATTCAACAGGAAACCACTGTTTACAAAAATAGAAACAGGCTTAAATCATTGAAAAAATACTTATTGCTCATGGAAGGGATAAGTCAATAGAATAAAAATAGCAATACTAACACAATGAATTTACTTATTCAGTGCCATAGCAATCTAACTACCAAAGGCTTATTTTAGAGAACTAGAAAAAACAATAGAATTCAAATAGGGGCAGAAAAGGTCCAGAATCTCATAGGAAATAATGAAAGGAGGTGGGAAGGAAGGAGGCTTCTCAGTGCCAGACCTCACACTAGATGCAGAACAATTTGGTGCTGGTTAAAATCCAGAGAGATCAGTCGTTGGAACAATTTAGATAGACAAGAACACACACGAGAACAAATGTGTCTGGTGCTCTACTAGGTGAGAAACACAAACACCCTAACACCTGGGATAAAGATTAACTACGTGATAAAAAATGGTGGGAGAACTGGGAGAAGTGTGGAAGAAATCAGATTGAGACCAGCGCCTCACATCTTATACCTAAGGAAGCTCTGCCTGGATGTGACGTCAGTATAAAAGCTCTAAATACATCATAAGTCCATTAGTGCCAGGCATTGGGCTAGTGCTTAACAAATGTTATCTTATTTAGGCAGCACAATAACCTAGGGAGGTGGATGCTGTCATTATCCCCATTTTACAGATGAGGAAACTGAGGCAGGTGGAAGTTGTGACTTGCCCAGGGTCACACAACTAGTAAGTGTCTGAGGCCAGATTTGAACTCAGGTCTTTCTGACTTCAGATCCAGCACTGTATCCCCTGCACTACCTAGCTGCAGTACTTTGGGGGTAAAAAAATGGACCCTAAAGGGATGGCCATCGGTTGAGGAACGATTGAATAAGCTGGGAGGTATATGAAGGTGAGGGAACACCATGGCGCACTAAGAAATGGGGAAGTAGACAGTTTCAGGGACGTGAAAAGATTGGTCTGAACTGATACAGAGGGCAGTGGGCAGAGCCAGACCAGTGTGTACTGTAACATCTGTGTTAGGAACACGAACAATTCTGAGGACTTTTAGTAACTGAGGAAGCATCAAATGAGAAAACGCAGGAGAACAATTTCTGTACTAGCAACAATCTTACAAAGACAAAGAAATGTGGAAGCTGTAAGAACTGTGATCAGTACAGTGATTCTTCGTGATTCCAAGGGAGCAGTCATGAAATGTGAGGCCCGCCTCCTCTAGGAGAGGGGATAGAGTTTGGGTGCAGAATGAGGCATAGATTTTTGTATATGGTTAATAAGAGAATTTGTTTTGCTTGACTTTGCAAATTTATTATGAATAATTTATTTTTTTCTTTTTTTCAATGGGGTGGAAGGTGGGAGAGTGAGAAAATGGATTTCTGTTAATTAAAAAAAAATTAAAACTACTGACATGGGGAGGATGTTACGGTAGTGGTGGAGTGTTGCATACACTTTGAAATGAGGTCAACTTATTGTTAGTTTTACCTAGATGCTTTACTTTGTTATAAGAGACCACTTAAGACTGGGAGTAATCCATGCATATTTGTAATGTAAAAACAAAACATCAATAAAACTTTGATTTAAAAAAAAGCATATTAGAGTTGGGAGAGATCTTAGCGATCATCCGGTCCAAGTCCTCTTTTTGCAAATGGTAAAACTGAGGCCCAGAGCTGGGAAGGGGCTTTTCTTTTTAACTTAATTTATGTATTTAATTTTCAACATTCACTTCCATAAGATTTTGAGTTTTAAATTTTCTCCCCCTCCCCAAGACAGCATGCAGTCTGATAGAGGCTCTACATATCCATTCCTACTAAATGTATTTCACATTAGTCATGTTGTAAAGGAGAATTAGAACCAGTGGAAGGAAACATGAGAAGGAAGAAACAAAACAAAACAACAAAAAAAGAGAGTGAATAGTCTGCTTCCATCTGCATTCAGACTTCATGGTCCTCATGGTTCTTTCTCTGGATGTGGATGGCATTTTCCATCATGAGTCTTTTAGAGTTGTCTTAGATGCTTGCATAGCTGAGAAGAGCTAAGTCTGTCAAAGTCAGTCATCACACAGTATGGCTGTTACTGTGTACAGTGTTCTCCAGGTTCTGCTCAGAAGTGACTTTTCTGCAGTGCCAGAGCCAGGGGCCTTTTAAAAGGATTTTTGTTTTGTTTTTGAAGTAAGTCAGCGGACTGCATTTTCCTCCTTTAAACTGCTGAAATAAGTCAGCTCCCAGCCTGCAGGGCTCACTTAAACTATAACTGAAACTGATGATATTTGGTAAATAATTTATTTGAAATCACTTCATTGTGAAAAATAAACCAGCATTTCAAAGCTCGATAGGCTTTGACATTTCATTTGTCTTTTGATGAGATTTTTTTTCTCATCTCCATGTCTTAAAATGCAATATTAATAAGTGACCTCTGGCTTGAAAATGCCCATAACCATTTACTTTTCACACAGTTCCCTATAATATTTTAAAAAATAAGATGAATGACATGTGGAAAGGCAATATATTCCTGACAGTTCTAAAGCTGCTGCTGCTGCTGATATTTAAACATTAGAAATATTTAGCACTAGGTAAACCGTATTTTTATTTTCAGGTTTATCAAATATGATGTCAGATGGTGAATTTCTGAGAACAAGCTGTGGGTCTCCAAATTATGCAGCACCTGAAGTCATCTCAGGCAGGTAATGCATCAGTGAAGGTTCTGTTTTCCGAAGATTCTCTCTTCACTCGAGAGACCTTAGCACATAACCGAGTGATTCCACCCAGAGTTGTGTAGAAAAATTTGGAGAGGCCGCATAGGGCTCCAACATTCAGCCCTGACGAGAGTGGCCTGGGCTTCCTGAGGGTCTCCCGCTGGACGATGGTTGACCAGTTCTTAACTTAAGGCTGTGGTTGAGGGGCTTCGTAGCAGAGATCCTTTCTGACATCACATGAACTTCTGTGAATGTGATTCCATTTTTTGCTCACCATTTCCCAGTATCCATTTAGGATAGCTTGTTTTCAGGAGAAGAAGCATCTTGAGAGTTCGCTGGAGTCAATTTTTTTTCTGGCAAAGAATAGATGGGAGGGACCACATGTTTTTAGGGACTCTGGGCTCTCTTTAGAGTTTATCATTAATATGTGGATAACCTCTTTTGTATATTCCTTGGCCTCTGCAAAGTGCAGGCAGAGTGATTGTTTTGAGGCTCCAGTCTTTTCTTTCTCCTCTATATTCCATTCCGTCTCCACTATATTTATCTCGAAAGCTCAGATTTATGCGCGTTGCCTACTGTGTTAGACCAGATGTTCGCTGGGCACGGCGAAGCATGCCTGTGATTCCAGCTTCTGGGCAGGCCGAGGCTGTCCTGTCTCTTGAACTTGGAAATTCTGAGCTGCAGTGGGCCCGGAGGTCTGCACTAAGGTTAGCGTGAACATGGGGGGCCTCCAGAATCTGGGGGTTCACAGGCTGCCCAAAGTGATCAGAATTCCTGTGCTGATCAGGAGTAGGTTCAAGACCAGGAGGAGCCCCTACCTTTCCAGCTTCAGTGAGATGGGATGCCTAGTTTTTGTTTTTTTTTAAAGAGGGGAAAGTTGTAAGCTCCTGGGGGCAGGGATGGTTTCTGCTTTTCTGTTTGTTTGTCCCTGTGCTGAGCCCAGCGCGTGACACACGGGAAACCCTTGAGAAGTGTTGGCTGGCAGAGACCAAGTACATAATAGCAGTGGATGTTTTTTAGTGGACTGTATATAGAACAAAGTCTTGTCTCCCTGCTTATCAATCAAATGCTATTTTACTAAGTGCCTACTATGTGCCAGGTGCTGGCAGGTCAGTGGACAGCATGGTAGCTTTTACTGTGAAAGGAGCTTAGTGAGATTCATGCTGTTAGACAACTTTATTCTTTTACTTCTGACTTTAACCAGCATGAACACTTTGGCACACTCAGCAGAGCTGAGAGGGTTGTAAACAACTTGGACTCTGCTGCGCACAGCTGGCTTTCCTTTTCAGGAATATGACAGATGCCGCCTTTTACTTTCAAAGCCATCCTGCTGGTTACCAAGCATCTTTGTGGCATCGATCTTTAGTCCCTGTTAGTATTAACGTGGCTTTTAATTGTTTAAGTGAGGTTCTCTCCAAGCAAAAAGCAAAATTCCATTGACAGTAGAACGAAATCACTTGAGCAAAGAAAACGGTAGCTACCCGTTGGTGCAGGCAGCAAGGCCAGTACAGGAAGGCAAAAACACATGCTAAACGATTGCAGTTTTAACAGTTAGATTCATTTGTTGGAATTGCAGGTCCATACTAAATTAGCAGAGACTGTCGTGTGCCACTGGTGTCTAAGGCAGTGGTAGTGTGGTGTTTGTGCTTGTGTGTGTGTGTGTGTGTGTGCGCATGCATGTGTGTGTCAAATGTGTTGTGTATATGTGTGTGTGTGAGAGAGAGAGAGAGAGAGAGAGAGAGAGAGAATGAGAGTAAAAGGGAATAATAATATTGTAGACGTAAGCATAGCTAACCTGTAGGTAAAGATCTAGCCCCCAAATGGCACATACATGCATATTGAAATCTAATCTTAAGCCCGAGTTGCCACTGAGAACAATGAATAAAAGGAAGATGTATTCAGGATGAAGTGAGCTAAGTCACTTCCATAACAAGATCATAGATTGTTAGAGATGGCCAAATCTTAGAGATTATTTAAGCCAAGTTATTGTTTTTAAAATTTCCTTTATTTCAATCAAGATTTATTTTCTCTCCCTTCTACCCCTCTCAAGGAAAAAATTCAACAAGAACCCCTTGTAACAAATATGGATGGTCACGCCAAATGAATTGCCCCATTAGCCTAGTCCGCTAGTCTGTCTCCTGCTGCCTCTCGAGTCCTTCACTTCTCTGCTAGTTGGGGGTGGGCAGCGTGCCTCATCGTCAGATGCCGGCAGCTTGGGTTGGTCATTGTGTGGATCGGCATTCTTAAGCCCTTTAGAGCTAGTTGTCTTTACAGTGTTGTATGGTGTATATTGTTATGTCGGTCCTGCTCTTCAGGTCCCTTCCCTCTGCTGCATTTCATGCAGCTCTTCCTGGGTTTCTCTGAAACCATCCCTTTCACTGTTTCTTACAGAACAATAGTATCCCTGTGGCGTAGTTTGTTTGACCGTTCCTCGACGGACGGGCACCGTAACAGAAGAGCAGCTGTGCACCGTACGCACATCCTTGTGTCCTTTTCCTCTCTGAGCTCTCCGAGGCACGGGCTGTGTAGTGGTGCGGCCGAGCCGAAGGGCATGCGGGATTCGGTCCCTTTTGGGGGCGCGCTCACTTTATTGTGGCCGTGAGCCCAGAGAGGCAGAGGACACCTGAAGTGCTTCGGAACGGTGCTCCCCCTGCACGCCTCTCCTGACCGTTCAGAGCTGTAGCAGTGAGCCCCAGAGGGCTGTCTAGACACTTCCACCTCCTGCAGTGTTGTGGTCCCGGCTTTTCTTTGAAACAGGCTGTGGCTTGGAAGTTACTTTGTCACACAGGTCTTTTTATTGTAGCATTGTTTGTGGTTACATGAGCCCTTCTTGGTGGGAGAAGATGTCGACAAGGAGGCTGGTGGCCAAGGAGTTCAGGATGTTGGAAGCGACGGTGCGATTTGGCGGTGGTGGTTTTGGGTGGTGGTCTGTGAGGAGAGCCCACCCGCCACGCCCCTCTCGGTGTCCCCCTCCCTCATCTCTCATTCAGATTGTACGCGGGGCCCGAGGTCGACATTTGGAGCTGTGGTGTGATTCTGTATGCCCTCCTCTGCGGTACGCTGCCCTTCGATGATGAACACGTCCCAACGCTGTTTAAGAAGATTCGGGGAGGTGTTTTTTACATCCCAGAGTATCTAAACCGTTCTGTTGCTACTCTCCTCATGCACATGTTGCAAGTGGATCCCTTGAAACGAGCAACCATCAAAGATATAAGGTAATTGCTGTTTTTTACTGTGCCCTTTCAATGCAGTTAACGTTGTTAAGAGGATTTTACGTTTTTTGTTACTGCCATCTCAGCCAGGTAGGTGGGTATAAGTGTCTAGATTTTAGCTTTATTTAAATAAATTAAACACAAAGATATTTGCTGAGTTTAAACTCTTTAAATAGCTGCTGGTGGGCTTGCTGTGAAAGGCTGATATGGGAGAGGCTTTGGAAAGTGCAGTTGCTGGCTTGGCAACTGATGGGGAGAAGCTTTTTATAGTGCCCACATGCCAGGGTGAGGCATTCCCCAATGCACGCATCTCCTCTTGTCGGAGCTCTCAGAAGTTTCTGGTTCCTGCCTGCCATTTCAGCAGGTGTTGGTTTACAGATTATCTGGACGTGTTTCTAGATCCTCATCCTTGCCCTGCACAAACCAGAATGCCTATTTTAGGACACCAGACCCATGGAGGATGTAAGTGGTGGCTGTAGTATTTGTTTACTGTGTTTACAGTAAGTCTGCCTAACAGTGCAATGTGTGCTCAATTCAATAAACATTTATTAAGCACCTCCTGTGTGCTGGGCAGTGGATATACAAAGATGAACAACAACATAGTTCCTTCTCTTAGCACTAGGCTTGGCACCGACTAGGTGCTTCATAAGTGCCTGTTGACTTGCCTCTGGGAGATTACAATCCAATGAGAGAATGCTGTGACAAACATTCACAGTGTGATAACAAGGTGGGATGTGATGGGCATAAAGAAGAAATCTAGAAAAAAGACCCAGAGAAATATGAGGAAGGTCACTCTCAGCTGGGGGGTGGGTGTGGCGTGGAGACTCAGGGGAAACTTTGCAGGTGTGTTGGCGCCAGCCCTGGCTCTGAAGACAAAGAATTATTTCGACAGACCGATGAGGAGGTGGCAGGCAGGGCAGAGGGGGCGTTAGGAGAAAGGCCTATACAATAATCATTAAAGAGTGTCCACTAGGTGCCAGGCACCATGCCAAGCTCTTTACAAGTACGATCTCATTTGATCCTCACAACAACCCTAGGAAATAGGTGCTATTATCTTCCCATTTTACACTTGAAGAAATTGAGGTGCCAGGTTAAGTGACTTGCCCAGGGTCACATAGCTAGTAAATATCTGAGGCTGGATTTGAACTTAGGTCTTCCTGTCTCTGGGAAGGGAGGAAAAAGTATCATAGGATCTTAGACTCTGGGCTCAGTGCTCTGTCGGTTAAGCCCCCTAGCTGCCAAAAGCAGCTGAAGATACATGCCTGGAGCTCAGAGCAAATAGTAGACTTTAAGAATAGGCTGGGGGGTATTGGGAATAGAGGTAATTATTGAAATCATGGAAGTGGGCTGGGTCTGCAAGGGAAAGTCAGTGTACTGTAAAGTAAGAAACGGCCAAAGACAAAGCCTTGGGGAAGGACATCCCCCCCCCACTTTGCTGGTGTGTCTCTGCCTCCCTTCTCCCTCCCCACTTCCTCCTCCTTCTCCTCTCCCCCTCCCCCTTCTCCCCCTCCCCCCTTTGTTCCCTCTCACAGTCAGACTCTATCTGGAATATTGTGTTCAGCCATAGGGGTCACACTTTAGGAACAGCACTGATGAATGGAAGTCAGTAAAAAAAAATGGCGACAGGATTGTGAGGAAACTTGCGATGATGCCGGGCATGGGCCAGTTCAAGGGAAAAGTGGTTGTTCAGCCTGAAGAAGAGAAGCTTTCGTAGGGGCACGACCCCCGCTTTTACGTGGGTGCATGGCTGTTATGGAGAAGTGGCGCGTGATGTGTTCTGTCGCTCCCGGTGGACAGAAGTAGGAAGCAAACCGTTGAAGCAAACTGCGGCTCGACGTGAGGAAAAACCTCTTAATTTGAGCCGTCCCAAAGCGGGTTGGGCCAGCTCGGGTAGCACTCCCCGGTTCTTCCCTGGAAGTCTGCCTTGAAGGCGAGGAGATGGCCTGGCATGGCTGCTGCCGTCATCCTCAGGGCCGGAGCAGGCCCGATGCTCTTGGGAGCTCGCCTCTGACCTGGGCTTCTGCCCGCCCCATTTCCAGCACCTCACACTTGTCGCCTGCAGAATTGGTCAGTCAGGAGGGAGACGAGTAAGGAAGTGAAAGCGCCATATGTAGATTAACCTTTTTAGAAATCTAGCAGCAGAGTGGAAGAAAGCCCCAGGATGAAAGCTTGAGCGGGTAGCACGCCAAGAGAAGGGTCTTTGAGTCTTCCTTTATGAACAGGCCCAACTGCCCTCCAAGCCTCTGGCAGACCCCGACCTTCCTCTAAAGCTCGGAGGTGTCCTCCTTCCTTCCCTCCCCACCAGGGTCAGGATCTAAATACAGAGAAAAACAGAGAGGTTCATGTTGTAAGAGTTAGTTCTGGAGGGGCAGTTAGGTGGCGCAGTGGGTGGAGTTCTGGCCTTGGAGTCAGTAGGACCTGAGTTCAAATGTGGCCTCAGACACTTGGCGTTTACTAGCTGTGTGACCCTGGGCAAGTCACTTACCCCAGACTGCCTCACCCAAAAAAAACCAAAACCCAACAAAGGAGTCTGGAAACGAACATGTCAGAAAGGACCTTTTGAAGGCACTACATCTGTAAAGGAAGGACCTTACTTTGTGAGACTCTTGCATCTCCACCTACTGCTGTACACACCGAGACATCTGTAAGCAGGAGCTGTTTTTTTTTCAAACAACAATTTGTAAATTATAATTTCATTAACTTGTATAAATTTCTAAAATGATGAATAATTTTAGCATTAGAGAAGGGAGGAGGAGGAAAGGGAAGGTAAATATGGTCCAGTAAATGGTATCAAATAAATATATGGTATAAAACCACCACATATCTTATTCTTTAGCAATATTAACTTTGTAAAGTAACTTAATGTCAGGAATTTAATTTGAGTTATTTTCAAATTTTTGTAACTTTGAAACCGAAGTTGACTTCAGAGTCAATTTCAGGAAGTTTTAAATGTTGGGTTTGTAGCTTTCAGGTATATGTATAATCATACACATAGACATGTTTACTTACATAGACATACATGTGCTATACATGTGTATTTAAATTTTGTGGAGAAAGTCTTCATTTGGCAAGTCATGGTTGCATATGAGTCCCTTCTCTTTATTGTAAAAAAAATTTTTCATTTATGAATTCACTTGGCCTAGATTGGTGGTATAGTGGATAGATAGAATCCTGGGCCTGGAGTCAAGAAGACTCATCTTTGTGAGTTTAAATCTGGCCTTAGACAATTACTAGTTGTGTGACCCTGGGCAAGTCACATAACCTTGTTTGCCTCAGTTTCCTCATCTGTAAATTGAGTTGGAGAAGGAAATGGCAAGCCACTCTGGGATCTCTGCCAAGAAAACCCGAAACAGTGTAGAGGAGAGTTGGGCACAGCTGAATGACTGAATGACAGAATGGCCTGTCTTGAAGTTTACCAATTGTCTGTGGTGCAGGGGCAGGGATTTCTCAGTTTTGAGAGGTGATTTACATAACCTTTCTAGGCTGGATTTCCCATTTTATATCAAAATCAGGGCAGTGTTAGTGAGAGAAAGCCATTTTTCTTGAGAGTTGTTTAATAGTGTACGTGAAGCAAACTGGTTTGGGATTAGTTTCCCGTGGACAAGTAAACCTCCACGAGCCTCATCGTCACAGCCAAGCTTATCCTAAGTTCTACCCTGTAATCTTGGTACCTACAAACGCAGCCTCCATCATTCTTGTTCTCATAGACATGTGGTCATGGGCAAGAGAGGCTGGACCAGTTTGGATTGGCCCCTGAGAGCAGAAGTAGGGGCATGGGGCAGGGTGGGGACAGGAGAGGGGAAAGGTGCAGAAAGGCAGACCGAGGTTTGAGCTGGAAACAAAACAAAACAAAACTTAATACCAATGAGGAAGCATCCAGAAATTAAATGGTAGTCAAGAATGTCAAGAAACAAGACATGAGAATGGAGGTCATGACCTTAAGGATTGGTTGGGAGAAGGAAAATGAGGCATTAAAAGAGGCATAAGGTTTGGTTAGAGAGGTGGGAGAAACCAGCAGAATGTGCTGTCTCAGAAAGCAGCGGAGGAGAAAGTCCAACAGGATCATCGATCTGGAGTTGGAGGGGACCTTCGAGGCCACTGATTCTCCTTATTTTTCAGAGGAGAAACTAAGGCCCACCCAGAGAGGACAAGTGACTCTTCAGCTTCCACAGAGCTAGTGTCAGGGCAGGAGTTTGAACCCCAGTCTTCTTGATTCCAACCTCAGCATCATCTCCAGCGCACAGCGCTGCCTCCAGGGCTTGGGGAAGCTGGGTCATTAGAGTCAAGTGCAACCAAGCCATCAGGGAGGATGGCTGAAATGGAGGCTTTAGATTTGAGGTCAGTTAGTGGGGTCATTGGTGACAATTGAGAGGAGAGGTTCAGTGTGTGGAGCAGTGTGAATGACAGGTAGATGTCTGATTGGGAAGGAGTGAAAATAAGCCATAGCAGGTTTTGGAGAGAAGGAAGCACGTTTGGAGTTGCTGATGGGGATGGGTGGTAAGAAACTGGAGATGTCGGCTGTAGGTGGCTTCTTGAAGAAGCTTAGCTAGGGGGTGCAGCTAGGTGGCACAGTGAATAGAGCTCTGGTCTTGGAGTCAGGAGGACCTGAGTTCAGATCCAGCCTCAGACACTTAACATGTACTAGCTGTGTGACCCTTGCCAAGTCACTTAACCCCAATCACCTCAGCAAAACGAAGAAGAAGGAGGAGAAGGAGAAGAAGAAGAAGAGGAGAAGGAGAAAGAAGAAGAAGAAGAAGAAGAAGAAGAAGAAGAAGAAGAAGAAGAAGAAGAAGAAGGAAGAGGAGGAGGAGGAGGAGGAGGAGGAGGAGGAGGAGGAGGAGAAGAAGAAGAGAAGAAGAAGAAGAAGAAGAAGAAGAAGAAGAAGAAGAAGAAGAAGAAGAAGAAGAAGAAGCAGAAGCAGAAGCAGAAGCAGCTGCTACTTAGCTAGGAAGGGTTAGCAAGGCTGGCACCTAGCTAGTGTGGGAGCATGCAGAGAGCAGCGTGGGGGTGGAGGAGACTTGAGAAAGTGCACGGATGTATGGGAGGAAAAAGCTCCCTGGAGTGGAAGAGACTGAAGGTGCATGAGAGGCGAGTGATGCTTGTTGGAGCAGGGTCCTGGAGAGGAGAGAAGGGGCAGATCCAAGGGCGGAGGTGAACGCATTAGCTAGATGAGAAGTAGGGATGGAGAGAGAGAAGAGGCAGTGGACCTGGGAGAAGTGTGGGCAGAAGAAGTGTAATTGATGAGGTATGGGTCATCTGGCCTCAGTCATCTCAGTGAAGTAGAAGACTGAGTCACAGTCCTGTGTGTGTGTGTGTGTGTGTGTGTGTGTGTGTGTGTGTGTGCATGCATCATGAGTGTAGTGGGGGATGGCATGGAGGCAGGCATTGGAGTTTTAAGGAGAGGAAGAAGCATGGGAAAATTGTTGTAGGGAAAGAGTCAATTCAGTCATTTTTCAGTCATCTCTGACTCTTCATGACCCCATTTGTGAGTTTTCTTTAAACTTTTTTTTTTGTTAGCAGAGATGCTAGAGTGGTTTGCCATTTCCTTCTCCAGTTCACTTTATAGAAGAGGAAACTGAGGCAAACAGGGTGAAGTGACTTGCCCAAGGTCACACAGCTAGTAAGTGTCTGAGGCTGGATTTAAACATAGGAAGATGAGTGTTCTTGACTGCAGGCCCGGCGCTCTATCCTCTGTATCACCTAGCTGTCTGTAGGGAAAGAGAGGGAGTCATTCATTAAGAGGGGAGATGAGGGATTAGTGAGCAGCAGAGAGAGTCTGCTGGAGGTGGGGCACCATCCCTGTGCAGCAGGTTCCACCTTAAAAGCAAACAATACCATTCTTAGTCATTAATGAACATTATTGAGTGCCTGTTGTCATTATGAAGTTTTAAATGTTGAGATGCTAGATGCTAATGGGTTTGTTTTTACCTTTTGGTTCGAAAATTCCTTTGATGTTTTAATGACTCGACCCCTTATTATATAGTTGAAATTTATGTTAATGAGCATATCTTATTGAATCCTTCTGCATTAGGCCAGGATCTCCAAAGCACAGCTCACTTTTTGTTGTTGTTATTGTTATTGGCACCTGCCAGAGGAGGAAAGCCCCTAAGCCCATGCAGGTCAGCTCCTGTTCTTCTGTTTATAGCCAGCCCATGCAGGTCAGCTCCTGTTCTTCTGTTTATAGCCTTAGACAGTTTCCTGGGGGCATGGAGATGGTGAGTAATTTACCCAGAGTCACAAAACCGGGATGAGCCCCGTTCTCCATTCTCTCCACGAAGCCACTTTTCCTATTCTCATGACCTTTTGTTTTTCCTAGAGAGCATGAGTGGTTTAAACAAGACTTACCCAGTTATTTATTTCCTGAAGACCCTTCCTATGATGCAAACGTCATCGATGATGAAGCTGTGAAGGAAGTGTGTGAAAAGTTTGAGTGCACAGAGTCGGAGGTGATGAACAGCTTGTATAGTGGGGACCCTCAGGACCAGCTCGCGGTGGCTTATCATCTCGTCATCGATAACCGGAGAATCATGAACCAAGCCAGTGAGTTCTACCTTGCCTCTAGCCCTCCCACTGGCTCTTTCATGGATGACAGCACCATGCACATTCCCACTGGGCTGAAGCCACACCCTGAACGGATGCCACCTCTAATATCAGACAGCCCCAAAGCCAAATGCCCTCTGGATGCTCTGAATACTACCAAGCCCAAATCTCTAGCTGTGAAAAAAGCCAAGTGGCACCTGGGCATTCGCAGTCAAAGCAAACCCTGCGATATTATGAATGAAGTCTACCGGGCTATGAAGCAGCTGGATTATGAGTGGAAGGTAGGACATAGCTGTGATTCATGACCCTTTTTCATGAATTATTTCCCTGTATGGTGTGTCAATCTGAGCTGATGAACTGAGTCATGAGATCAGTGAGCAGCAACACAGTGAGTTACTAGTCAGTGGCATCTTAACTGTTTCTAATTCACATGTACTTAAAATGATTTTAATAGTTTTGGCTAAGCCCCATTCTTATTACTAATGTGCCATATGCTGCTGCTGCTTTTTTTTTTTTATAATCCTTTCTTTTTGTCAGGATGGAAAGACAAGCATTTCTCTTTACAGAACTGGGGGATGCTGGAAAACTGTCCATAGTTCTAATTCTAGTGGAGAATCCCCTGCCAAGTATGTTTATCAGCTTGACAACACCTGAGAAAATAGCTCACCTGTTTCAGCCTGCGCTCCAGCAATCGCATGTCCTGAGACTCCACAGATAGTATGTTTTTCTTTTTTCTTTCTTTAAAGGATTCACTTGCTAGGAGGCTGTGGCAGTGAGTGTGTGGACAACATACCTATTACTCTCCCCACCCCCCCGGCCATTGATTTTGCCTTCAGGAAATGGATGCTTTTCTCTAGGTTGAGAAAACCTGACAAATTTTCAGATGCATGTGATTTTCTAAAGAATCCCTTCCTGGGAGTGGACGCTCTCAGCACATACTTTGCCATTAGAAGTAAAAAACCCAAATTGTTCTTGATTGATTCAGATTCCATTCAAATACTTGTCAAATGCATTTTATCATTTTAGAAAGCCATTTTCCATTTCCCTTTGGAAATTATTAATGACACTTTCCTTATTTCTTTCAATAAAAAAATGAAAAGGAAGAAATGATCTGAAATTTGCCATGTGCTTAAATTGATTTGTTTGAAGAAAGAAATACTATTCATTTCAATATTTATACATTTATATATGTGGATCAATAATTTTTTGAAACTCTTTCAAAGAGCTCTCTTAAATTCTTCCCCCTTCTCTTTTCTGAGTAGAATGAGAAAGGTGGTAGGTAGAGAGTTCTTTCCTTTTTGTTTCATCTAAAAAGGAATATCATTCTTTTAAAAATTCTTTTCTAAAAATGAGCTTATTTTTCCCAATTGATTTGGTAATTCTCTTTAATTTTTTTGACTTCATTTATTCATATGGTATATGCTTTATGTTGTTGGTGGGTGATAAGTGTTTTCAAAAATGAGGTATATTTCTTCCCTTCTAATAGCTAAGGCTGGATTTGAACTCAGGTCATCCTGATTCCAGACCTAGCATTCTGTCCAGTGCATCAGCATGCAACATTATTCCATGATCCTGTGATTTAATATATATTCCTTATGAGTTGGACCTTAAGTAAAGGCCTTTTCTCAATGCAGCTCAAGGGTAGGTTGTGGGGAGTGTGGCAACAGAGGGGAGTCTAAGAACAGCCTGAGAAAATATCCTATAGAATGGAAAGGTTATTGAAGAATTTTTTTCCTTATTGACAGTGCATTCTAAACATTTCTCATAGAGTAAAGGGGAAGCATTGCATTTTCTGTACTCTTCCTTTACCTAAAAGAAGGTTCCATGTTGTAGGTGGTGAATGCGTATCATCTTAGAGTGAGAAGAAGGAACCCCGTGACTGGCAATTATGTGAAAATGAGCCTTCAGCTGTACCAGGTGGACAATCGAAGTTACCTTTTGGACTTCAAAAGTATTGATGGTAAGGAGGCCATGTCAGCTTGGGCTCGGAGGCCTGCTCAGGCACCCCGTGGAAGTGAGTTTGGCCGCAGTTCAGTCTATTAAAATCGCACATCTGTACAAGGACAGCGTGGTGGCATGGGAAGGGGGAGGAGAAGTCCATTTGGAGTCAGAGGACCCGAGTTCAGACCCCGATTGCCTTTTTTTACTTAATGTTTCTGGTCCATGATTTCTTCATCCAAAAGGAAGTGGTTGGATTAGATGACCTTCAGAGTCCCTTCCAGCTCTGAGTCTGTGATCCCAGGTGTAACTGGCAGCTCTGAGAATGGCCTCTGCCACCCATGATTGTGTGCTCCCTAACCAATAAACACAGAATGGAGGGAGGTTCAAGGGAATGAAAAGCACCCTTCAGGCCCAGGAAATGACAGTCTTTCACAAGAATTCTGACTAGGCATAAAATCAAGTGGGAGCCACCCGGATGCACACACCACAGTGCCCACAAAGACCTCTATGTTATTGTCATCTCTCTTCCCGAGACATTTACATGGAGAAGGCCATTGTAGAGGGATCTAGCGGTGGTGCAGGTGTTGGAGGGGATGACCTCCGCGGCTCCTTTCAGCTCTGAAATTCTGGCACGCTTGCTCTGCTCTGCTGCTAATTGCTTTGTCTTCTCTCATTAAAAACCCATCTCTGCAGTTCTGGGCAGTTTTGTAGTCGGCGTCCTTGCCAACCGCTGCTCGTCAAGTGTGTGCAGCACAACCTTCAGTGCTGAAAGGCCCCTCCCTCCTGAGGCAGCCACTTCTCCTTTGGGGTCTGCTTCCAGCTTGTTAGGAAGTTTTCCTAATGCCTTCCACCCCTTAGTGGATGGTGTCCTCTCCAGGACCAAGCAGAACAATACATGTGAAAGCCCTTCAGATACCTGCAGGGTTTCTTCATGTGACTCCTTAGTCTTCCATTCTCCAGGCCAGGGGTGGGGAGCCTGTGGCCTCTAGGTCCTCAAGTGCAGCCCTTTGACTGAATCCAAACTTCACAGAACAAGTTGCCTTAATAAAAGGATTTGTTCTGTAAAGCTTGGACTTGGTCAAAAGGCCACACCCAAGGACCTAGAAGGCCACATGTGGCCTTGAGGCCACAGGTTCCCTACCCTTGCTCTAGGCTAAATATCCACTTTTCCTTTTTTCCTTCAGTGGATACTCTTTTTTTATGGCGGGGGGGGTGGTGGAATTCATATTCCTTTGCCAGATCTTGGCCAGTTTCTGTTCATGTGCCATCTTGTCAATGATATTTAGAAAATGCAATACCCAGCCTTGACTAAAGGACCCTAGAGGGGCTGAGTACATCCATCCCTTTGGGATGCTGTACCTCTGTGAATATACCTTAAAATCACATCGATGTTTTGTGGCTTCCACATTGCACTATAGACTCAGAGTGAGTTTGCAGTTCACTAAATCCCCATTTATTCTTTATTAATTGTTGTATAATCATACCTCCTTTTTGCTGTACTCAGGCATTTAGTTTTTCAAATCCAGGTTTTTCCTTTATATTTATCATTACTTAATTTTAAGATTCATTACATAGTTCTAGGTCTTCCTGGATCCTGACTCTGTCAACTAATATGTTAGCTAGCCTCCTCAACTCCATGTTACCCACAGATCGGTTAAGCATGCTCTCTTCTTTATTAAGATATTGACCACAACAGGGCTAGTGACTCCAGAGGCCTTCTTCCATGTTGGCATGGACCACCTGTCCTTGTCCAGTCATCCCCCAAACACTCCCACCTTGTTCACAAGCAGTGCTTCCCTGAAGGTCAGGTGTAAGCTCTCCAGAGCATTCCTCTCCTCTATCACCAGTGAGACCCAATCAGAAAAGAAAATGACGTTGGTCCGTCATAAACCCTTGCTGGCTTATGGCGATCCTCAATGTCCTTTCAAGCTACTCATGAACTCTCTCTTTCATGCTCAGTGGCAGATTTCTCCAGGAATCAAATTCCAGCTCCTCAGACTGTGGCAGAAGAATCTGCCCTCTTCCCTTTTTCAGCGTTAGCTTGCTAGCCTCTGGCACTTGGTGCTTTCATGACTTTTCGAAGATCATTTGCAGAAACTCAGCAATCACATCTTCAAGTTCTCTTGGTACCAAGGAATATTGTCTGTCCACACCTATTGAGTCAATGTCATTGAGGGGAATAAAGGTGCTGTTCTCTTACCACATCCTCGTATCCTTACATATCTTGGCTTCCAGTTCCCTGCTGACCATTCTCCCTCCCCCATATCTCTACCAGTATTAAGATCATTTTCTTTGGTAATAAAAAAAATACAGAAGCCGAATTAAAACTGAGTAGTTCTTCTTTCTAGCTCCATCACGTGCATCATCCCATCCACACAGCAATAGTCCTAGCCTCTCTTCGATCTTCTGCTACAAAGAGTCCTTTTTATTCTTGGCATTCCTCATGCCTCTCAGCTCGTTCTGAGTTTAGGGATTCTGGTATTCTTATAGGATCCTGTTCCTCATAGAATTACTCTTAACTCTTTACTCTTTCCCCAGTCTTTTGTGCATGCCTTTTAAAAACCTACGTGGTCGCTGTGTTTTCAGTGCATTCACACCAGCACCTTTAGACAGCTAATACGTTTCTTACTTAGTGGAAGAATTTATGTTGGTCAGTGGAATTTCATTTTTGAATGCATCCCATCCCTCTTGAGCCAATTTATTTTGTAGAATTTTAGCCATTCAGTTTTCTTTTTTGAAACCTTCCCTCCCCAAATCTAGGCACCTTGTCAGACTCTGTTTAGCTTTCTGCTTTGCATATGTCCTAGATGCAGGCCTGGAGCTCTCCTTCCTCATCTCTGCTCCAATAGTGGACGACTTTTCTTGTTGTAAATGAGTCTATTATGGCTTCGTTTTTACCTTTATCACTAACAAACAAGAATACAGATGATACTTGTGAGTTCATTTTGTATTTTGTGGCTTTGCCAAGTTTATTACCTTTCCCCCCTAAGTAAAACTCTCTTCCATCCTTCCCTGTTGTTTTTGAAGGTAGCATCATCCTCCTCATCTCCCAAGTTTGCATCCTCAGCATGATACATGACTCCTCACATATCTAATCATTTGCCCAATCTTGCCATACCCGCCTCCCCAACATCTCTTTATCTGTCCTCTTCTCACTGCTCTAACGGACTCTCACCACCTTTTATCTGGATCATTGCGATGACCTGAATGGTCAGGGATTTTAAATCATCACCATCACCATCATAGCTGATCTTTTTTTTTTTTTTTGCATGAACATTGACTCGTGCAGTCATCACAATAATCCTGGGAGGTGGGTATTACAGTCCTTTTTCATGTGAGGAATCTTAACTTTAGAGAAGCTAAGTGGTTTACTAATAATAACAACCGTTACTAATTGTGGGAGTGGGATTTGAACTCAGAGCTCTCCTGACTCGAAGCCTGGAGCTGTTTATAAAACACCTGCTGAGGATACAAAGAAAGGCAAAACCCCAAAACGATCCCAGTCCCTGCTCTCAAGGATCTCATGAGGAGACAACATGTAACAGCTCTGCACAAACAAGAGATTACAAAATAAATTGGGGAAGTCTTGGGGAAGGAATTAAGATGAAGGAGGACTTGGAAAGATTTCGTGTAGACAGTGAGACTTTGAGACTTAGAGGAAGAGGAAGCCAGGGGCACAGAGGCCGGAAGAGAGCATCCAGGCGCGGGGGGAAAGTGCTTTGAGTCAAGGGACGTAGTTTTGTGTTTGAGGAACAGCAGGGAGACTGGATTGCAGAGTATGTGGAAGCGAGTAAGGTGTGAGAAGACTGGAAAGGTAGCATGGGGCCAGGTGTGAAGGGCTTGAAAAGTCAAGTGGAGGATTGTATGTTTGATCATCAAGAGAAGAGGAAGTCATCAGAGTTTATTGAATGGGAGTGGTGTGACGTGGTCAGACCTGTGCTTTCGTGAGATGAATGAGGACTGTATGAAGCATAGATTGGAGTGCGGAGAGGCATGATGGGGAGAGATCAAACTGAAGGCTGTTGTCATGGTCCAGGAGGGTGATTGAGGGCCTGCACCAGTATGCTGGCAGGGTCAGAGAGAGGAGTTCACATTAGAGGAATTTTATGAAGGCAGAAACAATGGGGTTTGACCACTGATGGGATATGGGAGATGAGAGAAGGAATGGAGTATGACACTGAGGCTGTAAGCCCCAGGACTGTCCAGATGGTGGTGTGTACCCTTTCTAGTCATGGGGATGTTAGCAAGATGAAAGGATTTAGGGGGAAAGGTGAGTTAAGTTTTGGACATGTTGAGTTTGAGATGTCTATGGGACATCTAGTTTATGACGTCTAACAAGGAGTTAGAGGTCTTAGTCTGGAGGTCAACAAAAAGGTTATGACTGGACAAGCAGATCTTAGAGTCATCAGCACATAGATGATAATTGGAACCATGGGAACTGATGAGCTCACCTGAGTGAAATAGTGTAGAGTGAGAAAAGAAGAGGACCCAAGACAGAGCTTTGGAGGGACCCTCACAGTTAGCTAGAATGGCCTGAATGAAGAGCCAGCAGAGGAGACTAAGCAGGAGTGGTCACACACGTAGGAGGAAAACCAAGACAGAGTAGTGCCATGAAATCCTAGGGAGAGGAGAGTATAAAGGAGAAGAAGGTCATCAGAGTATCAAAGGCTGCAGAGAGGTCGAGGATGAGAAGGGAGCAATTAGATTGAGCAAGTAAGCGATCATCAGTAAGTTTGGAAAGAGCAGTTTCAGTTGAATGATAAGGTCAGAAGCTAGACTTTGAGTTAAGGAGAGTGCAAGAGGAGAACAGTGGAGGCTCCTATTGTAGATGGCTTTCCCAAGGAGTTTAGCCACGAAGAGCAAGAGAGATGTAGGATGAAACCTAGCAGAAATGGGTGGATCCCAGTTCCACTTAACAAGCCACGTCCAAGCATGGTCGATATTTGTGAATTCTCATGATGTATAGAAATCCCAACAATTCACAGTGGTGTCTTTTCTGATGGATTTCCTGATTCACTTACTGTCTTGATTTTACCTCATCCTCAGGAAAGGACACTAAGAATGAAGTGTCTCATGGTCGTTGGCATTTATTTGTACATTGCAGATGATGTCGCGGAGCAGAAGTCTGGGTCTTCGACGCCTCAGCGTTCATGTTCTGCAGCTGGCTTACACAGACTGAGGCTGAGCTTTGATTCGACCACGGCCGACTGCCCTTCTCTCAGTGGGTCCCTGACCAGCTCCTTGACAGGGAGCGTGCCTTCTGTAACTCCACGCCTGGGCAGCCACACCATGGACTTCTTTGAAATGTGCGCCAGTCTGATCACTACGTTAGCCCGCTGATGCTGATTCACCACCAGTCTCTGTCCTTGTGTTATTGCACTGTGAGGATCGAATTTGTCCTTTTAAATTATTATCTCCTATTCTGGGTAGCTTATACGCCACAATACAAACTGAGAGTTGTATCCCCTAGGGACGCTCATTCCCATATTGATCATTGAGTAGACTGACATTTTCTCTATTTTGCTCATGGTAAATTCACATGAGTAATATATTTGATAGGTAAATAGCAATGAAAGTGATTGTGGTTTTAAAGTAGTGAGTTCCTGTGTAAGCTGATTGGTAGCCTCCTTCTGAAGATGGAGCCTTGTTTATGGGGATGTGGCAGCATCATTTCGCTGTAGTGTTCGATCTGGGTACATCAGGGTGACTGCACAACCCTTGCTAAGTGGTAAGGTGTTTTGAGCCCTCCCACTTATCTTCTAGTTACTGGGATGAGTCCTTATTGACCTACCTACTGTATGTAAAGATGTATGCAGAGCCCAACAAGACTTTTTCTTTTCATAATTTATCCAGCACTTATTAGTCTGATGTTGAGAATTTGAGAAGAGAGAGAGCTAGCTAGCTAGAATATCAGGGTTAAGATTCTCCTGGTCTAGACAAATCTCCTGCAGGGCAGTGGGGACAGGTTTATGTTTCTGCAGCAGATTACTACTGTTCCAGGGAAGTCACTGTATTTGAAATGGTCCTTTGATCACCTTTGCACACCCACCTCAGGGTTGTTAATATCTAGCTTTATAGAGCGGGGATTTCATCTTGGAAACTTTTTTAAGTTTTCAAGGACTGTAGGGAATGCCTAGAATTATCACCATTTCACTTTTGAGGTCTTTCTTCCCAGTTTCACAGCATGACTTTGAAACCTCATTCCCCTTCCCCTGTACAAATTGACCTTTGCTTTATTTCTTCTTTTATACTTCTTTAATAATAGTGAAATAGACCCTTAAATGAGAGAGCATCTCCCTTTTAAAGAGAATGCTTACCTGTGGTCACACATTTGGCCTGCGTTGGGGAACCTCTGAATTCCATCAAGTCAGCCTTTCCTTTAAAGCTGGATTTCTTTCTCTGCCTCCCTCTCCCTCCCCACCCTGATTTTCCTTATTATTTCATCTCTCCTCAATACTGGACTGAACTTTGAAATCTTTCTGAAGGTCCTAATTTATTCTGTATCTTTGTCACTATCCTTTTAATTTGAAAACATGTTTTCCAACTTAAGGACATCAGGTTTGGAATTGAGGACTTCCAAAGCTTGATGGGCTGTGACCTTCACTGTGGAACTGATAGGGAAGGGAGACTTTCAACACATTTTGTCCTTCATTACATGTCTATATCTCTATCTGATGTAGATATATATACACACATATATGCGTTTGTGTGTATTTCGTTGGAGTTTTTACTTTCCCTTTCTAAGTAAGAAAAAAACTAATTTCTTTCTCTAGTTCACACACGTATCTACTCTTTATTTCTTTTTATTCAGTGCTTCTATCTAGTACTGAATATGTCATTTTTCATCCGACCCATCCAAGATACAACACTATAAAGCACCCCGTGGTGAAATGAAATGTGGCATTGCTTTTAGGGGTTGTGTTTGTCAGACATATTGCATCCTCTGCCAAGAACCAAATGAAGGTTTGATATCATTTTGCCATTATGAGAATGGTGCGTATATTTATCCTGAAATATTAGACAAGTCAGGGATTGTTATGGGTTAACAATATGGCATGTTGTTTTGTAGGACTTTAAAAAAATGCTTTAAATATTTTGTAAATGATTTTGATTTTTAGATTCTAAATATGGATTTTTTTAATGCAAAAGTGAACAATATTGTTATTACTACTGTTTTTATAATTATTTTGGTTAGAGAGCTACTGGAAAGATTGCCATCTAGTGGCAATTTAGCATAATTGCTTTCACTTCAAGCAGCCAGTGGTTATCAGGCATGATTCAAGCTTTGCTTGCCAAAGTGGGGTCTTTCCTGCCCCTACACATTTCAAAATCTCAATGGACAGCTTTGCTTTTAGGAAAAAGAGTTGCCATATTTCCAGCTCACTGCTGCGGGGATGAGCCTGGTGGCTGTAAAATACTAGAATGAGAAGTTAACTCAAGAGCCAAAGCCTGCAGGAGTTCTGAATGTGGAAACCTGCAGAAATAGAGCCAGTCATCCCCCAGTGAGCAGGCCTTTATTGAACATGTGTCAGGTGCTAGGATCTGTGCGAGACACTGGTGATCTAGGGAGAACCCAAAGTGCAGGAGCTCACGTTGTGTTGGGGACGTATCCTGTGCGTTTATAGGGAAAGACAAAACCTTTACCAAGTAAGTGCAAGTTATTGTGGTGGCTGTGAGGGGAGGCCGTGGCAAAAGGGGCGGGGGTGTCAGGAAAGGCCTGAGGCAGGAGATGGAGTGAGAGGGAGTTGGGAAGAAACTGAGGGATTTGGACAGGTGGAGGTGAGGATGGAATGTGTTCCAGTCACAGGAGGCATTACTACAATCATATTAAGACTATAGTGTATCTGTTAATACAGATTTTGACCAAATTCATTCACATAAGATTGACTTTAAAATGGGTATTAATGTTGTTTTTTAGCACTTTTTGAATATTTATGAACGTCTTATGTTTTCTCTCATATACCTAATCATGAAGCAGCTACTGTTGTAAGGTACTCTGAGCACTAGAAACAGCACTGTAATTGGATTTTAAGAACCGAGGTCCAAATCCCAGATCATCTACTTACTCCCTGGGCGATCTTCTTAGGCAAAGCCCTGACCCTCTTTGGGCTGTTGTTTCCTTACCTGAAACATGAAGGAATTTGCTTGCTAAGGGCCCTTCTGGGTTTAATTTCTATACCCTATGAATCTTTGGACAATCATTCTAAGCTTTATGGGCATAGGCATGATCCAGTAACCCTTGGTTTTAGGGTGAGATCATCTAATGGGAAGCCTAGTGAATGTAGTAATCTCACTGGTAGGAATAATATCTCAGGGTCGTCAGTCAGAGTGGGACTCGGGGAAGTTATTCTGTTGCCTACATTGTAGGAAAGGGGAAGAGCCGTGGGTCATCAGCCTCACCTACATACTCCTGTGGGGGATGTGATTCTTTTTTATTCAGTCCTTCCTATAGCTGGTTTTTGTGGCAGTCACTCTGGGACAGGAACAGTCAAACTGAGGTATCCCAGTTCTGACTCCTGATGGCTGCCGGACTCGAGTTTAATAGCAGAAGCTGTGTATCTGCTAAGCCTTGACCTCATGGCTAAAATACTAATCTGACCAGTACTCCAAGACCATCACTGTCCCAGATGATAACAGTAAGGCTTTTGGAGCAGCAGAGGTGGAGTTAAAGCTTGGTCCAGTCTTGATTTCCATTTTCCATTAGAGATGATCTTCTCCTAAATCACATTCAATTGATTTTATCACAGAATCTTAGTATCAAGACAAATGTTTGTCTTGAGCAATTGCTGGACTAAAGAATTAATATGGTTTCATAGCTACTGGGTTTTCAACTGTCTGTGGAACTACTGACATCACAGCGACCTTTGAGGTCTTCAAGGGGAAGATAGCTAGCTGCTCACTCACTGGGGACGCCATAGAGGAGTATCACGCTTGAGGTAAGGATTGGACCAGGGGACTTTTGAAGTCCCTTTTGTCTCAAAGAGTTTATAACATTTCATATGGTTAAAAATAACCAAAGAGAACGTTGTTCAGGTGTGGAACTGGATCATCTCTTATCTTGATCACTAACCAACAAGTGATTGCTTGCATCCAAACGGGCATCCTCAGTGTGGGTTTTTTCCCCTTCTAAATAGTTTATGGTTTCTGTGTAATCAGTCAGACTTTATCCATGATATGGGAGTTGGAAGTTTACAAGGATGTGTCCTTCAGAAGTTACTGAATGTTTGTATCTTGAACGCTGTATTGGCCTGAATCCTGACATAGCCTGGTTGAGATTAAAGGGGATTCTCAGGTGGAGTGAGGAAGAGAGCTAGTTCCATTCAGCAGCCCAAACCCAGAGAGTTAGGTGGCTTCAGCCAACTACAGATGGCAGTCCTTCTGTGTCAGGGTGTTGGCTGGGTGAAACACAATTCTCCAGTGATGATGATGGAATAGGAACGGCTTTTCTGTAGTGCTTTAGGAGGCAGCATGAGCTAGGGGACAGCCAGCTTGGAATCAGGAAGGTCTGGGTTCAGGTCCTGCCCCCTAGTCATACTGACTGGGTGATGCTAGGCCAGTCTCTTAAGGTCTTAGTCATCTAGGTTATTCTGAGACTGAGAAACTGCAGAGCAGATGTTACTCTGCAATGGCAGAGGGAGATTCCTCTCTGGGCCCTGTCTTCACCAGTGGAGTTACAGACCTGGTCCAAAAACCACAAACACACACTTATACAAATGCCATACTTGATGATTTTACAATTCGCTGTCAGATACTCTCCTAATTCATCTATGTAGAAGTCATCCAGGGGAAATATGTAATCCTTGTGACTGTTTTGTCCAGCCAGCCTATACTCAGGAAATGCAAATTACTTTAAATATTAACCTAGGCATGGCATATCTGGGAAAGTAAATCTGATTTGATATAAGAGGGAATGATCATCAGGCATTCCATAGCTGTAAATGATTTTAGATCAGATCCTCTTAGAGTTAATCTGTATTTTCCATTAGTGTAGATAACCAAATGAGCTGAATCTCATGTTTGGTGTTACCTTCTGCCCTTGGATTTGATTTTTTCCCCAAGTATGACTTACATTCATACTTTAAAATTGCCTGGCTACTCACATCTTTATTCACCAGCTAATACTGCATGCCTCCTTATAAAAGAAAATAGAGGTTTTTATTGGTAGGTTTTCCTTTACAAAATTCCATCCTTTCCAAGACCAAGGATCTAGGACCTACTGCAAGCCCCACGCCCTCGGCTCTGGCATTTCTTTTCCCATGAGTCCTATAGCAGTCTTTTGCCATGGTGAAATTTACTTCCTTCAGCAGTTTTCCTTAGGGTAGGCTGTGTACTTTGCTGAATAAATTGGTGAAGGGTAGATGCTGCCTTCCTTCATCTATAAAAATAAAAGGGGAGGAACAGGACCAGATCATCCCTGAAGTTCCTTCCAGCTTGAAGCCTGTGTCTTTTCACAGTAGTAATTGCTAGAGCTATGACAGACACGAAGATGTATAGCACAGTACAGATAATGCTAGGACCTGTATTTTGCTAGGACCTGTATATAAAATATATAATACTTGAATCTTTTGTAAATAAAATCATCCTCCAGAATGCCAGTGGCAGAACCACCTCAGTGAGCCAGACTTTGCCCAGAACATTGTCTTCTCAGTAGATTCCATAGGAAACCAGCCCTCCTGAATTCGGATGAAGGGACAGGGAAGGCTGCTCAGAAGTAGGAAGGAGCAACAGCTTCCCTTGGTCGAGCACTTAAAGATTTGAAAGCACTTTTCATGCCTGAATTGTGTACTGGAAAAAGAAAATGCACTTTGATGCTTTCAGTAGCACATAGCAGAGGGCAAACGGTGGTGTGTGACTTAGTTCCTTGGGGAGAGCATTAACAGTTTGATAACAATAATATAATTGAATCATCACGAGTGAGAACAGTTGATCTTTTTCAAACCAAGCGTTTATAAGTAGGATATATGAAGAGTTGAAATCTTATTTGTGAAACAGGAATCTTGAGACCTTGGCCAGTGGCCATCCAGGCTCCCAGCGTAGGCCATGCAGTTTTGTGTCCAATTTATTTCATAATCAGATTAGCAAGGGTTTTTTTTTTGTGTGTGTGTAGAGAAACAAAGATTTACGAGGCAATAATACCACTAGAGGAGCACCATGAATTTGAAAGTAACATCCATTTCAGTTTGAGATCACCTTTGTAGAATACGTGTTTTCCTTTGATCTTACTGGGCCCATCATCTTGGCAAAGCCTTGTATTCGTAGGATGAAGGCAAGCTCACCTTTTTCCTGTCTAAGTTATAACTAGCTCCAAGCTGGTATGAGTTAATGAGGGTTAGCTGTGTTTTGTACAGCAGATTGAAATATTCTCCATTGTATGTGCCACGTGTGCCCAAGTCCAACAGGACGTCTATCACCTACAGCCTGTGTTGCACAAGACTCCACTCAGCTTGGACCTTCACATTTAGTCCATTCTGGTTGGATGTTCCCGTAATCTGTCCACTGAAAAAAGTATCTAACACAACAGGTAGCCTTTCTCCCACAGGAAGTCACTGTACATTTGCTATTACTAAGCATAGGGGCATGAAGTAATTGATATTAGACCCATCCCCAAAGGTGAATTGGAGTTTTAGCTAAAATTCTTTCTTGACCACAGCCTGATCTAACAGATCTGTGTTGGTTTTGGTCAGAACGAGAGCCTTTGTTTGCTTTGTGGATGCTTTCACTACAGAGTAAGTCTGTGTGTGTGTGTGTGTGTGTGTGTGTGTGTGTGTGTGATTATTAAGTTCTGTTTACAATTGAAGAGAATTAGATTATTTTGAGAAGTTCACAATTAATTGGATAACCAGGGTAGGTACATTTCATATAAATTTGAAGTATAGTTTTAAAAATTCTCTAGACAATGTTCCCTCCACGAGAATCATCAGTTAAGCATGTTGTAGCATCCAAACTTGGGTGCATGCAGAGATTTTGGAAGCCAGGTGCCCAGTGATAGAAGGTTCATATGGTATCATATCTTTTGGGATGGGTAAGTTTGCACTGGCTAAACATTAGAGGAAGAAGATGAATATTTTTAGTAAGGGGAATAGAAAACTAACATGCCGAAGAAAAGTTTTGCATGTGGGAGCACTTTCTTCCTTTGTAGTGGTGTTGCTTATTAAAATCTGCTTTATCGAGGGGAAAGACTCTTATGGAGCCAATGTTATTCTCATTGGACTTTAAGGAAAACTAGACAACCAGACTCTGTTGTCAAGGAAATCCAGAATTGTGCCTTCAGTTCTTGACCTAGGGGCAGTATTGTTCAGCTGATAACTACAAGCTCTGCTTTGACATGGGATTTTGATGGAGATTTGAGAAGATGAGCACAGCTTAGACAAACCTTTCCACTTCTTTCCCTCTCACGAATGGCTTATTTTAACCGCAAATATTTTCTCATTTGTTCTTGACAAGTTGGTTTCCAGTTGCCTTTTCCTGTGAAGACTGGACTACATTTATTAAGCACTTGGTATGTCCTTTTATGGTTTCTACATGGCGTCTGCCTGGTCTTTGACAGGGCTTGGCCATCAGCTCAGTGATAAAACTCAAGTTCCCTGAGTAGCCTTTGAGTATGCAACTTCAGACTTCATCTAGACAGTTCAACTCTTGTAAGGTTTGTGAAAGAAGGGAGTATTGTCTAGTGAGCAGAGATAGAGACAGAATTCTCGATTTCAACAGCTGACTGTGCTGTAATCATTCAGTAGCCACTTTGGCAGATTCCAGACCATAAGAGTACTTTGTCTACCTCACAGGTATGTTGTGAGAAGCTATTGGAAATGTACCTTCTAAGTGTAGAGGATCCTCATAGGAAATACAAAAGCCCTCTGCTCCCTGATTTTTTTTTTAATAATTGTCTTTGATAATGGACAGATGGCTAGTCTGAATTTTCTAGGTGAGTCTTACACAGTGTCTACACATTTTGCAGTTAAAAAGTCTGAGATCATGTCTTCACAGATTCTGGAAGACTGAATCAAATGACTGTTGTTCTTAAATTTGACCTAGGTAAACCCTCCAGTGTTACCTTAGTCATCTTTTGCTCTAATTTCTGAACTGAAAGCCTTGAAATGCCTGCAGAAGCTGCCTTAATTAATGACCACCCACTTTCTCCCCAGACTGTTGATGATTACCGGCTGTACACACAGTTTTGAATGTGTAATTGTAAATTCCCAGAACTGTGACGTTCTCTGAACATGGTTGTATTTATATCAAGCGTGTTTGTATTTTGTTATACGTGTGTGCTGGTGTATCTAATAGGTAATTTTTTATGAAAAAAAAAAAACAACCACCCTGAAAATATATGGCTATGAAGGTGTATCTTTCTGATATGGGGGCAACACATGTTCCAATTTCATCAATGTGATAAGGCACTAATGTTCATTTCACCCAACTTAACCAGCAACAAATCAAGTGGCCTGCTGATGTGGGGGCCTTGTGAAGCACATGATTCACTTGGGGCTCGTATGCAATGTCTAGGACAATTTGCTGGACTTGGAATCCAAGGAGACCTGGGTGTGAGTCCTACTTCCAACACCGCCTATTGTGTGACGTTGGATAAATAACAGGCTCTGGGGGTATAAAATGCTTTCATTGTCTGCCGTGCAGGGTTGTTTTAAGAAAAGCACTTTATAAACCCCCAAATGCCATAGAGATGTGAATGATGTGGATTACTGATCTATTTTTAGAGCCATTTTTTAAATCATTGAAAGTGGGGACCATTTTTCAGAGTTGGCTATTACAAAGAAAAACCCCGAACTGACTGCCATTTTTTTCCCGAAGAGGGTAGAGGACTCAGAAGATTTCAGTTTGGTTTTTGATGCACTTCTAGTAGGGGTCAGATCATGATTAAGAAGTCTTTACCTCCCAGCATCTGTGTGGAAAGAATTTGTCTTTAACATAGTGAACCTCATGTAGTGACTGTCGTTTCTCCTGACTTGATGTTTGCACTTTATGAGTTAAAGACCCAACCGGAACAGAGGATGACGTGGCTGCTTGTAAGCCCTTACACGTAAATAAACGAAAGACTTTGGTCTCTGAAGAATAATTTGTATGATTTCTGTTCATTCAAAGGGGGATAGCTAAGTATGGAGTGGGACAACCAGCAGTGACAGACACAACTATTCTGGTGAAAATTCACTGTGACCGCATGTGGTTGGACAAGCACATGAGTCAGAAGAGATAGGATCCCAGCATCCTTGTACCCACCCACCCCTGAGCTCCCTTCTCCCCTCTGCACTCTGCTGATGTGGGGCCTGGCATCCTCACATTTCCAAGCTCTTGAAGGCCCAGTTCGTTTGTAGCAGGTTGCCTTTATGGACCTTTGTTTCCAAAGTCCATTGCATCCTGTTCTCTAGATACTGGCAAACATACCAGGAACCAGCAGGGTGGAGTTGGGGAAGGAGCACTAAGTTGGTATTTAGGGAACTCGAGTTCAAATCAGGGTTCAACTCCTTTCCTTTTTTTTTTTTTTTTGGCTAGGCAAAACACACAGTTAGTACGTGTCAAGTGTCTAAGGCCGGATTTAAATTCAGGTCCTCCTGAGTCTAGGGCTGGTGCTCTATCCACTGCGCCACCTCGCTGCCCCAACGCCTTTCCTTTGTGACTGAAGGTGTTACCCTTTGTTGGCGTGCTGGGCGGATGAGCAGGATGGAATTTATCTAATTCTTCCGCTCAAAATTCTAGGCCTAAGTAGCCATCTTGAGGAGAAATTCATCCGTCACAGCCTTTGGGGGAGCAATGAGAGAATTTTCAGTTGTTTGAAAACTAAAGGCAGTCCATAGAGGTGCCCTCCCAGCGGAAGGACCTTGTGGCTCATGTACTTGAAAGAACATTTCATGAAACTCCAGCATTAGCTCTAGTTGTATAAATAAATAAATAAATAAACGAACGAACGAATAAATGAATCAATGTTGGTCTGAGCATTTCTTTTGAAGTAAAAACTTCAATTTGCTGTTTTTGAGCCATGAAGAAATGGATATTTCTTTATGCCTTCCTCTCACTTCACTGATCCCATTAACTGATAAATAATAGAGTGTTACATTGTTACCTTGTTAACTCAAGAATGAAAGAAAATATGTAGAATAGTTTTTGAAAAGCCATGAAGAACATAGGCTTCTAAGGCAAAATCAAGACAACTCAGCAAGCATTCTTTGAGCACCTTACTACTTGCCTAGCACTGACTGTGCTAAGTGCTGGGGAAAGCATGAAAAGTACCAGACAATGCCTGCCCTGAAGGAACTCACAGTTTAATAGTAGAGGCTCCGTGAAAACAACAATATGTAAAAGATCTATACACTTGTTTATACTTGGTGATTAATTTGAAATAATCAAAAGAAGGAGGACTAGAATTAAGGGGGGCTGGGGGAAGCCTTCCTGTAGAAAGTGACCTTTTGGCTAGGACTTGAAGGAAGCCCAGGAAGCCAGAGGTAGAGATGAGAGAGAGCATTCCAGGTGTGGATGACAGCTAGGGAAGGTATGCGGAGCCAAGAGATGGAGTGTCTTGTTTGTGGAGCAGGCAGGAGGCCGGTGTCCAGGACCAAAGAGAAATGGAGGGGAATAATGTATATTATGTGCATTAATGTGTATTATAATATAATGTATATTATATTATAAGGGCTTTGAATGCCAAACAGAGCATTTTGTATTTGATCTGGAGGGATCCACTGGGAGCTACTGGAATTGATTGAATGGGGGCAGAGGCGCATGTGACATGGTCAGATCTGGGGTTTAGGGGGGATTAATTTGATGGGGGACATGAAACATGGACTGAAGTAGGGAGGAATGAGGCAGGGAAACTGAAAGAAAGTTTGGGAAGGATTGTAGATCTTGTTTTGGAGGGGGGACCTCGCGAAGCTAGGCAAGAGATGCAGAGTAGTGAGCCCCATGTTTGCACTGTCTGAAATGAAGAGTATATAGCAGAAGATTCACTGGGCTTATAATTAGGAGACTCGGGTTCAAGTTCGAGCTTCATTTGTGACTGACTTTGGGGCAAGTCATTGAACTTCTCTGAGGCTTTCTTTAGGGGAAAATGGTAATAATGCCTGCAGATCCTCACTGAAGGCAGAAATAGGAACAGTGGTAGAACTGGGAATGAGGTTAATTAAGGCTTAATGGAAGGAAACACTTGACAATTGGAGCTCTGCCAAAGTGGAGGGGTTCACCTCAGGAGAAAGCGGGTCCTTGCTCTTTAAACAGAGGCTCCACTACTGCCTGTCAGGATTCCTTTTCAGGTGTGTTCTAGACTAGTCCCCTAGTTCTAGTCCCTAAGGTCCCTTAAAAGGGCTGCTAGGAGGCACAGTAGAACACTGGCCCTGGAGTCAGGAGCGCCTGAATTCAAATCTGGCCTCAGACACTTACTAGCTCTATGACCCTGGGTAAGTCACTTCGCCCTGTTTGCCTCAGTTTCCTCATCTGCAAAATGAGCTGGGGAAGGAACCACTTCAGTATCTCTGCCAAGAAAAACCCCAAATGGGGTCACAAAGTCAGACACAACTGAACCAAATGGATTGCTTTACCTTTTGAGGTACTGAGTTCCTCATCTTTGGCTTGTGCAGTAATGAATTCCTTGTCTTTGACTTGTGAGGTAATGAATTCCCTATCACTGGAAGTGATCAAGAAGAAGCTGGAGGAACAGCTGTCAAAGGCATTATATAGAGGCTTCCTTTTCAGGTACAAGTTGAACAGATGTTCCACCCGGCTTTGCGATTGTGTGAGACGGAGGAGGCCATTGGGCACTGAGGAATCATGAGTGTGTTAAGAAGGGTTTGAGTATGAATTTCAAAACCTCCAATGAAGACAAGCAGGGGTTGGCATGGAGAGGAAGACCACGGGCCAGGTTCTGAAGTCACTGCGAAAGTTAGGAGAGTGATAGCAAAGGGGAAAGGGCGATATGTGAATAGATTGTCTAACTTTTTGGGAAATAAAGTTCTTAAGGGAAAGAAAACTGATGGTCTGGTAGAAGCAGTGGAAGGCAAGGAGAATGCCAACCATCCCTCCTCCTCTTACCTTGCCCAGGAAGAAGAGTGACCTTCACTGGAGAAGACTGAGGCTGATGTGTTTGTATTGAGAGGAAAGTGCTAAAGAAAGGGGAAGAAGTACACTGGTTGGCTGAAAAATTAAATGCAATAGGAGATTCTGTTGAGAAAAACAAAAATCTACCATACTATGCTTTCATACGTTAATGAACAAGTTGTCTTTTGTACATGAAATCACAGGGTTGGCCCCTTCTGCCTCCTAGCTAGACAAAGTAATAATGTATGTAAAGTTCTTTAATGTTATTATTAATTATTATGTTAATTATACTAATATTAATTATCATTGTTAATTATTATATAATAATATATGTAAAGTGCCATTCTACCAGGTCTGGCGCAAAATAACCCATATTTCCATAGCACTTGGAGGTTACAACATCAATGCTATACAAATATGGGTTATTTCTGTGCCAGACCTGGTTAAATGGCACTCTTCTCACTGCCGTCTTTAAAAACTTGGAAAATGTCTTCATAGAAGGCATGAAGCTTGGGACAACAGAGAGAGCACCAGATTGGGAATCAGAGAACTTACAGTGAAATCTTGGCTCACTGGTTGCACCTCTAAATTCAAAGCTAACAAACTCTACTGATTTATTAATGTCACAAAATAGTCAACATCATGATTCTGAAGACACTGAGGATATCCTGGAAATTTTGCCAGGACAAATAATCAACACTCATTTCCTAAGAACCTACTGTGTGCTCGTAGTAGATAGAGAGCCATCCTTGAAATCAGGAAGACGTGGGCTCAAGGCTACCTACTGACTGGGTGACCCTCGGCAAGTCACTTAACTTCTCTGAGCTCTAGACAGCTCTCTAAGACCCTATGTCACAGAGAAGATGCTGTGCACTGGTCAAGGGAGTTTTCTTGCTAGGGAGTTCCCTATGCCAGTGTGATCACTGACCTGGGCTCTGTTCTTCCCATGGACATGGTTTTCACTGTGGGAAAGCACAAAACCAAAGGGAAACAGTCTCTGCCTTACATTAGACTGGGGAAAAGAACATATACATGTATGTATATATGCACACATACATGTATGTATATATACACAGCATATGGGTACATACATGTATGCACATATACATGCAAATATGTATATGGTATATACATGCACACTATATATGTGTGTATATATGTATTTATGTATGTATATGTATGTGTGTGTGTGTGTGTATTTATACACACATAAGAAGTAAGTACAAAGTCATTTGAAGGTAACATTAGAGAAGGCCATTAAAGCTGGGGGAACCAATTAAGGCCTCTTGAAGAAGAATAATTTTCTTTTGAAAATATCTCTAGGGAATCCTCAGACATGAAATTCTCTTCCTGTTTGTTAGATAAATGGTAAATAGTTAAACCATACTTTCAGACCTTAAGTTTTGACTTTTCTTCAAAACAACGATAAAGCTTGTTTCCAACATTTAGGAGCTTCTTAGGAAAACCCCAGCAGAGGTAACTTATTAGTACTTCACAAATGAGGCTCTGATAGATGCCTTCGATGAGTCACTTAAACTATACGGACCTCCCTTTCCATAGTGTATGATGAGGAAGTTGGACAATGATTCCGAAGGTCCCTTCCAGCTTTAAATGCAGTGATAGCTATTATCAGGTATCTAAAGGTGTCTCCAGTGGAGGAGAGCTAAGCTGTCTAGTTGGTCTCAGAGGGCAGGGCTAGGAGCCATGGTCAGGGGAAACTGGAAGGAGGCAGGTTTAGGCTCGTTGCAGGGAAAAACTTCTAGTAATTAAAAGCTGCTCAGAAATTGAATGGGTTGTTGAGTGAGGTAGAAGTTTCCTCCTCAGTGGAGAGAGGCAATCAAAGGCTGGCTGACCAGTGATTGGATCAGCATGTTGTTAACAGGATGATTTTTCAGGTAAGGGTTAGAGCAGATGGCCTATGATACACTTTCCAACTGAAATTTTATTATTCTTTTCGTGTTTGGGATGTATTAGCTGACCTCTGACACCTCCATCTCAGGCATTATGTGGTTCTTTGATCTCATGACCCAGTTC